CCACTGAACTATACTCTCAACCCTAGAAGAGATTTTTTTTTTAATAGTTAAAAAGGTAAGAGTAAAATAAATATCCTTCTTTAAAAAATCCAAAGGGGAAAATTTTTTTGGTTTTTGAGACAGGGTTTCTCTGTGTAGTTTTGGTGCCTGTCCTGGATCTCGCTCTGTAGACCAGGCTGGTCTCAAACTCACAGAGATCAGCCTGCCTCTGCCTCCCGAGTGCTGGGATTAAAGGTATGCGCCACTGCTGCCCAGCAGGAAAGTATTTTTATAATAAAACACAACCTGTTAAAAATAAAAAAACACTGGGCTAGAGAGATGGCTCAGAGGTTAAGAGCACTGGCTATTCTTCCAGAGGTCCTGAGTTCAATTCCCAGCAACCACATGGTGGCTCACAACCATCTGTAATGAGATCTGGCTCCTTCTTCTGGCCTGCAGGCATACATGCAGGCAGAACACTGTATACATAATAAATAAATAAATCTTAAAAAAAATTAAAATAAATAACACTGATATTTTAGAGTCTATATATAATAAGATTTGATTATTGATAATTAAAAATACATAAAATGCCTAATCTGATACATATTAAACATACACATAAAATTTGTTCCATGGAGAGACATTTTTCAATTTAAAAATACATTTAAAGAATTAAAAGCCTGGTGATGGCAACACATGCCTTTAATCCCAGCACTGGAGAGGGAGACAGGTGGATCTCTGTGAGTTCAAGGCCAGCCTGGCCTACAAAGAGAGTTCCAGGAAAGGCGCAAAGTTACACAGAGAAACCCTGTCTCGAAAAACCAAATTAAAAAAAAAAAAAATTAAATGTTAACTGTGTTCAAATATCCTTCCTGGCTCCAACAGAATAGTTCCTTGGGGAACTGGTTGAGTTTGGAATTAACAGGGAAAGCTGAAGATGAATCTGAGACACCTTGTACTAGAATGTCTCAAAACTGATGTGAACATATCAAAAAGAGCCAAAAGCAATCTAAAAACATGGTCAGTTGCCAAATATGGACTAACCTGGGCACCAAAATTAGTACTAACAACAGATCATAACTCAGTAGGTTTAAAAAAAAAAATCTTTGGTACTAGTAAGATGGCTCAGTGGATAAGGGCACTAACTGCTAAACTTGCCAATCCAAGTTCAATTTCTAGGCCTCATGAAGTAGAAGAAATTAAATTAACCTCCCTAAACTGTCCTCTGATCTCCATTTATCCACCCATACAAACAAAACATTTATTTATTTATCTATTTATCTATCTATTTATTTATTTATTTATTCATTCATTCATTCATTCTTGAGAATCTTTGCCAGGTGAGGTAGCACACACCTTTACTCTTAGTGCTAGGGAGGCAGAGGCAGGTGGATCTCTAAGAGTTAAAGGCTGCCTTGGTCTAGAAAGCAAACTCCAGGCCAGGTAGGGCTACATAGTAAGAGGCTGTCTCAAACATTAAAAATCAAGGGCTGGAGAGATGGCTCAGAAGTTAAAAGCACTGACTGCTCTTCCACAGGTCCCCAGTTCAATTCCCAACAACCACATGGTGGCTCACAACCACCTGTAATGACATCTGGCACCCTCTTCTGGTATATAGACATACATGCAGATAGAACACTGTATACATAATAAATAAATCTTTTTTTAAAAATCAAAATAATCATTGAATTTTTGAATTGACTCTAAGATAAACAAATGAATAATGGGAAGTTCTTCTGTTGAATACCAATTAATAAAAGTATAAAGCACTGAGCTAGAAAATCCCCATCTTATCATAGTAAAATACTGATTAGACAGGAATCACTAATGAATGCTAGAACTACTGCAAGGACATCTTCAGCCCTTTTTTGGAGATAGTTTCTCTATGCAGCCTTGACTGTTCTGGAAATTACTATGTAAAACAGGCTGGCCTTGAACTCACAAAGATGCAACTGGTATGTGCCAACACACCTGGTCAGGAATCTTCAGTCTTTTTTTTTCTTTTGGTTTTTTGAGACAGGGTTTCTCTGTGTAGCTTTGCACCTTTCCTGGAACTCACTCTGTAGCCCAGGCTGGCCTCAAACTCACAGAGATCCACCTGCCTCTGCCTCTGCCTCCCGAGTGCTGGAATTAAAGGCGTGCACCACCACCGCCCAGCGCATCTTCAGCCTTAAGAGCATCTCCCCACAGACTACTTATAAATTACAAAAGGAAAAAATGTCAACTATACAGTGGAGACAGCCTCCAGGCTCCTCTAAGTTAGCCAAGTTACCTCAGCCAACAATGGAACAAACGAAATTATGGACCTCCTGGTGTGACATTGAGGACACAATACTACCTTGGTTGTAGAATTGAAAAAGCAGGCATTACTGAATTTGTAAAGAAACAAATTCAAACTGAGGCTTCTGTAAAAGGAGTCTATACAAAAATGTTTATTATATGCTACAAAGACTAAAACACTTTTCAGATGAAAGGAGAATGAGGAAATACAGCAACTAAATGCAATGCAATTCAAGGCTGCAGCCAGGAGGGGACTATTTTAAAAGTGACTGCAAGTTTTATTTAAAAAATGTACTGTATATACTGTATATTATGTATATGAGAAAACAGTACTATATCAATGTTAAATATCTTAAATTCTAATAATTCTACCATGACTATCGTTCTTTTAGGAGATGCATACTATATTATTGTTCTTTTAGGAGATGCATACTATATTTAAGCAAAGTCTCAGAATTCAGGATCAAGAGGCTGGAGAGATGGCTGAATTGTTAAGAGCACACACTGCTCTTCCAGAGGACCCAAGTTTGGTTCCCAGCACCTACTTCAGGTGACTCATGAATGCCTGTCACCCCAGCTCCAGGGATCAGATGCCCTCTTCTGTCCTCCATGAAAAATGCATTCATGTGCACATACCTACACATGTACACATAATCAAAAATAATATATATATATATAAAATTTTTAAAAATTTTGAGACAAGGTCTATGTAGCCCCAGATATTCTGGTACTCACTATGTAGACTAGGCTGAACTTGAACTCACAGAACTCTTCCTACTTCTGTCTCCTGAGTCCTGGGTTTAAAAGGCATGCACCGCCACACCGAGCCCTAATATATTTTTAAAAATTCAGGATCAAATCTGCAACCTATCTTCAAACAATTCAACAATAATACAGTGATATGTACTAAAAGAAAATTATTGAAGCAACTTTGGCTAAGAATTAAAGAGTCTAGCTGGCATGGTGGTGCATGCCATTAGGAGGTGGCATGGAGGTGCATGCCACTAGCACTTGGGAGGGAGGCAAAGGTAGCTGGACAATGAGTTCAAGGCCAGCCTCTACTACAGAGTAAGTATGAAGACAACATGAGCTACATGAGATTCTACCTTAAAACAAAACAAAAACTAGTTAAGAGCTGAATCCAAATGAAGAGACTAGTGCCCATTAAATTATCGCAACTTTTTAAATAAGAAAGAAAGAAAATAATGACTGACTATATTAACAATGTATATAAGGCTTAGGGAATCAAAGAATGTGCTGAATATCCCAGGACATATCTTTAAAGTTGTTTTAGGGTCTGGGAAGATGGCTTAATGGGAAAGAGCACTTGCTGCCTAATCTTAACAAGCTATGCTGAAATCACAGCCTCCACATAAAAAGCCAAGTCTCCATGCATATGCCTGCAGCTCCAGTGCTGTGGAAGTGGAGAAAGGATAAGAGCTGGTGCTCGCTGCCAATGACCTAGCTCCAGGCTTCATTAGAGACCCGTCTCAAAGGAATGAGGGAGAGATTGTCAGAGTAGCACACCAACATCTCCCTCTGCTTTCTGTGTACTCCTATGTACATGTACGTACACACACACACACACACACACACACACACACACACACACACACACACACACTTTCTTGAATTGCTTATTTAATTATTGAGTAATACCTGGAACTTTGTAAATTTCCGGAGTTACGCTATACTGGAAGTAGTATGACAAGAGGTAGGTAAAACTAAAGAACAGTAATGATAAATATGAACTCTGGATTGTCTGAATCTGAACTCCAGCCACTTTTGCCTCCTTAGGCAACTGTTCAATTCCATCAATACACAAAGTAGCAAATACAACGGTTAATACTGAAGTGAGAATGAAAACATACATGTTTGTAGTAGTAAACAGTAGGTATTACATCCATAGTGCTCAATGAATAAACTATCATTCCAATAGACATTTTAGGATAAACTACATGAAAAAAGAGTAAAAAAATAAATCTGACTTACAAATCCTAAAAGAAAAAAGTTTCTTGCTTTTTGCCACATTAAATATTTGGTAAATATTTCATGTTACTTACTCATCTCCAAAGAGCTGATGGGTATATTCAGGAAAGAAAGTTCTAATGTCGTTCTCAAGATCTTCAGGAAAACGAACTGTTCAAAAGAATAAAATATATAGACATTAAAGATAACAAACATTTCTATTTCCAGAACTCCACTACAGCTAGGATACTACCATTATTTTTCTTACTTCCAATGTTTCTTCTCTTACATGATTACACTAGACTCTCATGAGACTGGTCAACCCTGAAAGCTAAATGATACTAAAGCTTCAGCATCAAAACCCTGTTTATTCTAAAACTGAGAAACAGCACAATAAAGGCATGGGATTTAGTTTTTATTTTTCTATATTTTATATACAATGAAAAACATACGAGGAAAACAAACCCCAAAAGGATACTTTGAGATAAAACTACAGCACCTAGGAAATGAAAACAATACCGTACAAAACATGTAAAAAGGACAACCTGAGTTTGATGATGTCCCTAATATGCCATCACTAAAGACAGAGACAGAGAGAGCGCTATTACTGTGTGCATGCAGTGGTCAGAGGTGAACTATGCAGCTGTTCTCTCCTTCCACTTTATTTGACGTGTGAGGACTGAACTCAGATCATCAGGCTTATCCAGCTTAAGCCATCTCGTCAGCCCCCATCGTTTTTTGACTGCAAAATGACATTTAATTTTTTTTTTTTAAAAGAATTACAGTTTTTATTTGCAAAAGTTGAAAATGCTTATATCAATTACCAGCTCAGAACCTGAGTTCCCATGGGATCCACTGCATAAAATGGGTCTGTCACTTCTTGCCAGGTTTGGGGGCCTTTTCTAGGCCTTGGATGTATTTTCCCGGGAGCCGATACTCTTCAAGCAACAGCTGGCCAAGGTGGTGGATCTGGTTTCCTTGGATCTGCACCTGCACACTGTCTTTGGCCCCAGGGGCAGGAGAGACGATGGTGCTGGCCTGACATCGCTGCTGGAGAGTGGTGGCCACCGAGCACGGATCAAGACCATAGATCTCCAAGTTCCGGACCACAGTCACCTTTTTATTATAAGCCTTCTGGGCAAGGGTGATGTCAATCGGACTGAGTTTCCCTTTCTTCAGAATGGGCTCCTGTCCAGGAAACGTCACTTGGTAGGCAGGCTGCATATTTTGCAAACACCTGGTCAGGAGACAGTCCCACGGAAGCCTCATGACCGAGTGCTGTTCATTTTTCTCTAAGATGCAGTCACATAAAATAGGATCCAATTTCACCAGATTCCTGTTGTCTGCATCCACCAGGCTGTTCCTCTTGGCATAGTCAATGATGATCCTGCGGACCTCACCGCCCTCAAGGGTGCTCCCCTTCTTGTGGCCAGACTCCTGGAAGAGCTGGGTCATGTTGGCTGGGACACAGTAGAGGGATTTTATATCTGGAGGGTGATAGGGCTGTTCCCTGCTACCCTCCTGGACAGTCTGGGAAGTCAGGGAAGGCTCGGGGATGACAAAGGATGTGATCCTCGGGTGCCTCCAGTCCACAGCCACAATGCTCTCCACCCCTTTGCTCAGCTCCTTGACCTGGACAATCTGTTCCTGCTGCATGTGCTGCAGAAACTTAGAGAGCTTTTTATAGCTTGACTTCTTTATATCCAGCTGCTGTCCTTCGGGGCAGCAAGAGAACATGTGACTGCCAAGGAGAGTGCTGGTGAGCAAAGGGAGGTCAGCTTTTTTGACTCGACTCTTCAGGGCATGCAGGAAGCATTGATGTAACAGCTCATCCATTTGCTCTTGAAGGGGCTTGCCATCCTGGGAATCCTGGCTCAGGGCTCCGGAACTGGTGTCTTCAGAGGCTTCTGGGTGATGAACCTTCCTATTCTCCTCCTCTCCCTCCAGGGTCAGGCTGCTCAGGTTTCCATGCAGACCAAGGTCCACCTTCTCTTCATTGCTATCTGTGGGATTCACTGCCAATGGGGCAATGGCAGGTGGAGAGGACTTGTCTCCAGATTTCCACAAGTGATCCTGATAAGTGTGGAGCACAGAGAAGCCCTTTCCCTTCAGGCCTGAAGCCAGCATCTGAGGTGTGGACATGGCAGCCACTCCAATTGCTACAGGAGCTCTGTTCCCCACCAAGGCAATGGCACAGAGGTCGCCTTGCTGTACCTGGGGCAGACCAGTACGGGGCACCACTACCCCTGGCAGCATCAAATCTGCTCCCCCGACCAGTTTTTCCAGTACCAGAGGCCATGTTGTAAAGGCTGGTAGGAGATCAGGATAGGACCACAGTGTGTACACTGTTGGGTACAAATTTTTCTCCAGTTCAAACAGGATGGGGTTACCACCAATCATGTACACAGTCACTGCATCCCCTTTGTGAGCATACACCTTCACGACGTTTAGCTCTTCCTTTCCAGGGATCAACTCAGAGACCCGATCTGTTCCAAGGGTGGGAAAAGCAGCTGTCACATCCGCCCGAAGTTTTCTTCTGTCCGATCCCTTGATGGCCGTGTTGGACTTGACCCGAAAGGCCTTAGCGAACATGTCTGCTAGGGTGGCCCAGGAAAGACAAGAAGAACAGAGACTCCAGGGACGGTCAGCAAAACGAGGGTGTGGCAGCTCCCCAGCCCTCAACCCTGGAGGCTGCCATGCTGAGGACCCGGCGCCAAAAAGCCGACATTTAATTTTTTATGTTGTTTTCCCCCTCTTAAAAATAATTCTGCTTGGGGGCTGGAGAGATGTCCCATCATTTAAGAACACTTGATGCCCTTCTAGAGAACTTGGGCTCAGTTCCTAGCACTAAGAGAGCAGATTACAATTGTCTGTTAACTCCAGCTACTGGGGATCCTGTGCCTTCTTCAGGAACCAGGCACACATGTGGTACATATACATACATGCAGACAAAACAATCATACAAATAAAACAAAACTAAATCTTTTTTAAAAATTAAAAATACTGCTGCATGAGCCTCAGGATACAGCTCAGTGCCCAGTATGACCAAGAGATTCTTGGTCATACACTACAGAGCATATATAATCCCTACAGTGCTAAACAAGCAAGCAAATAAAAAAAATTTGGAATGACACTCATATATATCTTACTGTACTTTTATGAACATGTAAGGGGAAATATTTGGTAGTAGACAAGTAACAGCACTGATGTTTATTTTTTCTTTTTTGGGTTTTTTGTTTGTTTGTTTGTTTGTTTGTTTTGAGACAGGGTTTCTCTTTGTGTAGCCTTGACTGTCCTAGAACTCAATCTCTACCAGGCTGTTCTAGAACTCACTCTGTGGACCAGGCTGACCTCAATTGACCTCAAACTCACAGAGATCCACCTGCCTCTGACTATGAAGTACTGGAATTAAAGGCGTGCACCACCACTGCCTGGCAATGTTATTTCTAATAAACACTGCTTAGATGCCTGGGGTACCAGCATCTACATTAAACTCCTATTTCCTAAAATCTTGAGAATACCCTCAACTTCTATCTGTTGCTTTTATTTGTATCTGTTAGGGATACTGAATTACTGGATGCTTTCCTGATACAATTTATATTAAGAAGAAAAACTTATTCCTAAGGCTAGACTGATGACATGGTTCAGTGAGTAAAGACACCTGCTACCAACCCTGACAGCCTAAGTTCAATCCTAGGGAACCATATGGTGGAAAGAGAAAGCCAACTCCCACAAGGTACCCTCTGATTGTCATAAGCAGTGTCCTACTACTTCCAAAAAGAATTGAAATAAGAATGCAATTTTTTTAAAGGCCATAAGCAGCAAAGATTAAAAAAGTAACATATAGACAAAAAATTTTCAGTCTTCGTGGTCAATTAAGTCATTCACCGCATATAAACTATCACCCTGAACATTGCCACTTTACAAAAGAGGTAACCTTCACTCTGGTAGCTGCCTTTTCAAGGGGTTAAACTTAACTTCACTCACTGTGGGAAAGACCACCAGCATTGATGACTCATGAAGCCTTCTTACCTTTTCCTAAACTTATTCAATTAAAAAAAAAAAAAAGAAGAAAAATTTTTTTTCTTTTCTTTTCTTGTTTTAGTTTTTTTGAGACAAGGTTTCTCTGTGTAGCCCTGGCTGTCCTGGAACTCACTCTGTAGAACAGGCTGTCCTTGAATTAAGAGAGATCGGCTTGTTTCTGTCTCCCAAATACTGGGGTTAAAGGCATGAGCCACCACTGCCCGGCTTCAATTTTTTAAATTTACAGAAAATACAGGACAGAGAAATAAGTTTCAAGAAAGCACAGGTAAGACAAATTCAGAATGTAGATTTGTCTAGTAAGTCTACACACTGACTTTATTCTCCCAAATAAACTAATGACCTGGAGAATCTGCACATAGGAGAGATTGGCGGTTCTAAGGAAAAGAAAAGTAAGAAACAAATTACAACCTAACATAGAGCAGGGGACTCAGAGTGCAGCTCAGGGCTGGAGTGTTATCTACTGAGAACAAGGTCTTAATTCAATCCTCAGCATCACACAAAGAAAAATAAATGCAAATAAATAAAGTACCCTTGACTAGATCCTGCCTTAATAAACTTTTTTGATGTTTTGGTTGTGAGCCCAGTTTTTAACAGCTAAGCCATCTCTCCAGTCCAATTTTTTTTATTAGTAAAGGAACTTGAGGATAGCCAGAGAAACCAAGTAATAGCGTATCAGTTCTGATAATGGCATTATGATTATGTGTACATATGAAGACAAGTTCGTAAGAAGAGACATACAATAACAAGTATGTGCAAAAAGCTAGTTTCAAATAATTCTCCAAAAATACACACTAAAGCAAATACAGCCAAATGTTAAAATCTGAAAAGGGCTGTGGATGTAGCTTAGTAAGAAGTTTAAAGTTGGTCCATAAAAGCCCAACAATGCCTGTCTCAGGAGTTCCAGGAGTGGTCCTGACCAAATCCATCTGGGATGTCAGTATTTAATATTTTAATAAAGCTTGCTTCAAATTTGGCTCAAAAAACAAAAACAAAATAAAATAAAAAAAAAACAAGTTTAAGGTTAAGTGTGACATGAATGCACACACATGTGCAAACTCCAGGATAACAGAAACATTAATATTTTTAAGTTTTTAAAATCAGTTATGTAGCTCGGCAAGCAAGCAAACCCAAATGAGCTGTCCATGCCACTATGGACTCAAATTATAAAAAAGGAAAAATATAAGTGGATGTATGATAAAATACCCAAATTATATTACAAAAGGAGTTATTTAGTGATGAACTATGGGTAACTTTTATTTTTACCCTTTGCTTTTCCCTTTCCAAAATTTCAACAGAACATATTACTCCAACAGACAGAAAGTTAGTAAGATGTTGAAAAAAGTCTGGTATGGCACAGGGGAGACTGAGGCAGAAGTAGTACAAGTTCATGGACAGGCTGGACCACATAGTGAGTTCTAGGTCAGCCTAGGCTATACTATGAGATCTGTCTCAAAGCAAAACAAAACAAAACAAAAACAAACAAACAAAAAACCCTAATACCTTCCCCTACCTTAAAAAAGAAACTAACTAAATAACTAAAACTTTTCCATCCATGAAAACTTGTATCACTCATTATTTTAATGGTACCTGATTGCAACAAGACCATAGGGCTTGCAACCAATCTTCCCTTTGAATATGTCCCACTTTTTCTAAACATGTGGCTTCTATACTTCCTAGTAATTTAGAATTTAGAGAAATTGCAGAAAAGAGATAGTTTATCCTGTTTTATTAGCCACAGGAAAATTAAGCTGGGAATGTGGCACATCTCCTTATAATCCTAACACTTAGGAGATGGAGGCAGGAAGATTAGAAGTTCAAGGCTAGATTTGGCTACATATTGAATTCCAGACCAGTCTACATGTGCCCCCATCTCAAAAGACCAAAATTAAGGAATTATCAAAACGTGAATTTAGTCAACTTTTAAAATTTAATGACTATGGTGGTCTGAATAAGAATGGCCCCATGGGATCATACATTTGAATACTTGGTTCCTTAGTTGTTAGAAGTGTTTTAGGAAGGATTAGGAGGTGTAGACTTGTTGGAGGTATATAACTGGGGGTGATCTTTGAGGTTGCAGAAGCCTATACCAGACAGTTTCCCTCTGCCTCCACCTTTTAGATAAGGTATAAGCTCTCAGCTACTGCTCTAATGCCATGCCTGCCTGCCTGCTACCATGCTTCTCACCAAGATGATCATGGACTAACTCTCTGAAACTGTAAACAAGCCTCCAATTAAATATGTTCTTTTATAAGTTGCCTGGGTTGATAGTTTCCTGCTGAAAGACTACATTTTCTAGCTTCCCTTGTGGACTACAGAAGCCACTTCTGCCCCTATAAGGGGCCACATCACATTTTCTTCTGTAGGCATTTTGGTCATCCGTACACGCTGAGAGACAAAGTGCACCCCACAGTGAATAAACAGGGTCCCAGCCTAAGGTCAAACCAAACCTCTTTCTGTCTCTTCACAGCTGCCTTTTAATAATCTAACATATGGTGCCAAAGACCTGGAAGAGTAAATCTGTGACTACTAGCGGCTCAAGTCCACTCACGGACAAGCCTCTTTGGCTCTCTCATACACTTCCAGGCCGGGAGCAGGCCAGGCAGGACCACCCTTTTCTCTCCCACAGCCCTTTCTTTTCACTGTCTCTGCCCTTTATCTCTCATGACACAGTCTGGCCTAGGTGGCAGGCCACACTGCATTCGGCCAGAACACATATAATCTAGCAAAATGCTGGGACAAGGTAATCATGACCCTGACTCAGAGGTACCCTACTTAGGTTCTGGGCTCACTGGAGCTTTCTTAAGGTCCATTTGGTCAAAGGCACTAGAGAATTCCTACCAGCTGGAAGAAAGTTTAGCCAAGAATTCTGAATTCTCCACTGGCCAAAAAGCTGACAACCTTCCACTGGCCCTGCAGCTCCTTAAGCCTGGAGTTGTCTAGGTTGGAGACACTCCCTTACTTCCCAGGTGCATTTGGCCATTTCCAGACTTAGAGGATACTATGAACAACTGGGCATTGAACCCTGTCTGTCTGTCCCTTGGTCCTGAGTGCAGCCATGGGTTCTAAATTTTCTGTACCAAAAAAACTTCTTTGGCCTGTTTGAGGGCAAACTTAAAGGAGCTCCAATTAGAATTAAAACCTTTCAATGTAAATCCGGCTTCAATATACACTGGACAAAAGGCCACTGCTGGCCCCAACTCGGAACTTTCGATTACCTAAACTGATTTAGATGACTCCATAAGACAGAACTGTTGGTGTGAGACCCCTCCCCCATATAAGTCACAGTTCACTTTCATCTTCTCAAGGCTCTGGTTTACAACCACACCCGGAGCCAAAATGCCTGCTGCTGTATATGCTAGGTCCCCAAACTGGCATCTTAATAAAACTCCTTGGCCTTATGCTTTTGGCCTACTTGTGTGTCTGCCTCTCCAAGCCTGGAAGATGTATTTTTAACAGCTAAAAGGTAAAAGCATTTCCAGTTGTGTGCTCCCATCTACAGACAAAAACAAACTGGTTACGGATACTCAGATCACTGGGTTGTGCCTACAGTGATTCAAATATCTTATTGGGGGAGGGTATGGATACTCTCAAAAAATTGTTTAATGCTGTTCTATTCTACTGAGAAGGCTGGCTCTGGAGTTGGATTTTGGCCTATCTGACCCAGATCCAAGAATGTCTGTTTAAAACTTTCCTCCC